TATCTACATACTGTGTCAGGAAACCCTCCTGCACACATTGGACAAAAACTGACCCATCTGAAGTACTCGAACTATAGCGTTTCCAGTCAATATTTGGAAAGTTAAAGTCCCCCATAACAAAATGTTGCAAAATGTTCCTTCTATGTGTGACTAAATATCATCAGGTCGAAGTACACCACACAATTGGGTAATCCAGAAATGACTTTCATTAATCTGTGAAATGTGGCTGGCGCATTTTTCATTCCAAATGGCATGACTTTAAATTGGTATTTCCATTTGGTGTTACGAAAGCTGAAATTGTCTTTGCTCTTTCGGATAAAGGTACCTGCCAGTGTCCCCCAAGTCCAACTTGGATATACAAGTTGCTTGTCCCACCTTCTCGATACAATCTTCCAAGTATGGAATAGGATGTAACTGCAATGATTTTGCAATAGTCCACATACAATCATTGGGTACCATCTTTTTTTGGCCTCATTACTACGGGTGAGCTCTAGTCGCTGCAACTCACTTCGATTATGCTATCTTTGAGCTTGCGCTCAATCTCTTTTCAAACCTGTGCCAGCTTTAGACAGCTAAATGTGAGAGGATATTTCTTAATTGGAACAGCATTTCCTATCTCTACATCATACTTAATTAGATTAGTACTTTCCCGAGTATTCCCATATATCTCCCAATAGAATTGCAATAACTCTTTCAGGTCATTTCGATTTTCCTCTGGAAGGTAATTCAGTTTACTCCAATTTTTGAGAACTTCCTCATTGTCCGATTTAATTTGAGGAATATCGAATTCAGAATCATCTGAACTTGGGTCATTTTGCGTTGTAACAAGTAGCACATTCTCCATTTGCTTTCCTTCCCTATCAAAATACCCTTTGAGCATATTCACATGACACACTCAGATTTCTTTCCAGCTGGCATTCTTACTAAATAATTCACCTTATTTAATTTCCTTTTGATTTGATAAAGCCCACTAAAACTTGCTTTTAAAGGTTTCACCTACCACTGGAAGTAACACTAACAGTATCTTCACTTGCAAAATTGTGAATTTTGATTTCTTGTCTGCTTCCTGTTTCATTACATGCTGTGCTACTTTTAAACGCTGTCTAGCAAATTCACCCGCTCTATTTAATCTTTCCCTAAAATTTGACACATAATCCAATGTGAGGTCTATGAATTCTGACTCATCAATTTCTTCTTAATTAATTTCAATGGCTCTCACACCTCATGCCCAAAAACTATTTCAAATGGGCTGAATTTGATAGATTTATTTGATGCATCCCTCATTGCAAGAGGTACAAATGGAATTCCTTTATCCCAATCCTCTGGATAGTTCTGATCATAATCTCTTTAAAGTTTGATGCCACCATCCTAATTCTGGATGGTACACGGTGGATTTGAATTATTTTATTCCTAAGCCATCCTTGAATAATTTTGATGTAAAATTTGACCTTTTATCTGAGTGTCTCTCTATTGGTAGTTTGTATCTACGACAAAAAATTGAGCAACTCTTCTCAAATCCTTTTAGTTGTGATACTGGTGTAATGGTATGGCCTCTGAAAATCTCGTGGACACTTCCATTATGGTCAACAAATATCGATTCACACTTTTTGTTTTAGGTAGGCGTCCTAAGCAATCAATTAAGACCCTTTAAAAGGTTCCTCAAATGCGAAAATGGGTATTAAGGGTGCTGGTTTATCACTGCCTGAGGTTTTCAAATAATTGAGACATGTATTACATGTCCGGCAAAATTCAACCACATCCTTGTGCGGTCCGGAGCAATAAAGATGTTTTTGTATTTTGGTTTGAGTCTTCCTTACCCCTAAACAATATCCTACTGGCAATTCATCAACCAGCAACACCACCTTTCTATAACCCACTTGTAATACAAGAGGAACTTCTGCCCATTTTTCATCTGTGATGGTCTCCATTTCCTCATCAAGACTTTGTCTTTAAGATAGCAATTGTAAATGTTGAACTATTGCTTCAATTACCTCTCTTTTTCACGTGGACAAAGGCAATCCCAACTCCATCAGGTCTGCCAATTCCAAAAGCTTTGCCTTGCTCACTTTCTGTAAAACTCCCAAAGCGTCTTCTTCCACTCCCAGGAAACTCTAAGCAACTGAAAAAGCCATCACTACACAAGGAACACCCTGTTTAGACCAACTGAATTCAATATCCAAACTAAAAGACACTGAAACTTAGCCCTTGCTTCATTTGAGTCCAATAATCCAAACCCAACCTGGAATTAGAGATTTTGATGCTGACACGAGCCCCCAGTTTGTTAAATCAGATCAAACGCCCTCAAGATATGTCAAGAAGGTAGCCGAGGCCCTAACGTTTTTCCTACTTTAAAAGTAAATGTTAGGCACTGTGTTCCAGATGCAATTCAATTGGTCAAACTACTCAATGTTAAGTAAAACATAATTTATTCAAACACTATGAAGTACAACAAAAGGAGAAAGAACTTGGAATAACTTAACTGAATAATAGATACAGTAATTATTACTAAATAACTGTTCCAACGTAATAATATCCCATAAACACACCCTTGGCAAACTGAGAAAACAGATTGTCTCACATGTTCTCTCCCGTAGCAGGCAGAGAACCTCCAGCTTTTAGCAATAGCTGTGAGGGGGACAGAAAGTAGTTTCCACCTCTTCAAGACCCGAACAACAACTGCTGCTGAAAAAACTAAAAACCTCAAATCCCTGCTTCTGTGGCTGGGAACTTGACCACACCCACTCAGGCTGCTTCTACTGTTCCAAGCCTTTTTTTAAAAAAAAACACCCATAGCTTCACAAGTTGTATATCTTCTCCAAGGCTGCTTGGCATCTGAAACCGAAAACACTCAAACTCTCTCTAAAAGAAACCAGGACAAAAACATTCATCTTAAAGTCACAGCATTGTAACATGTTCCAGAACTCTCAGAATATTCAAAAATAACAACCAATGCATCCACTATTTTTGTGGCCACCTCCCCATGATCTCTTTCAGCTCAACAAGATCTCTGCACACCTCCAAACCTGGATTCTCGCACAACACCAGTTTTCATTCTAGAGTTCAGAAGTCATCATTGGACTCAAAACATTAACTGTTCATCTCTGCATGACTGCTGCCAGACCTGTTGAATTTCTCCAACACTTGCTTCCATTTCACATTTCCAGCATCCAGAATACTTTACTTTTACCCAATTTTCTTTGTTCCAGTCTTCAACAATTTAGGATCCTACACAATGGAATTCCTTCCTACACACTTTTTGGGATGCTCCTTCTAACCTCACCTTATGTGATTCACCGTCTACTTGCGTTCAAATGCATTGCTGTGAAGCACCTCAAGACAGCTTTCCTGTGTTCAAGCTGCTTGATGAATTCAAGTTGAGAGCAATCAATAATCGTAAGGCTGATCTATAGGTTTTATTTTGTTACCTACCCAATGTATTGGCTATTCCAGTTTTCACACTTGAGGTACTGATGTGGCTGATCCGGTTCTCATGTTCCGGCTTAACCAGGACTACAATTTTAATGTTCCAAAGTGTCTGCATTGCAATCTGTGAACAAATGAGCATATTTACTCCAGAAACAGAAATAATTCTTGGTATGGGCACTGTGCATTTAAATGTAGATCCTGACTTTGTGAATCAAGAACCACAGAACACAGAGTTCGTGGCACGAAGCTACAAAATTAGCCATGAAGAATGTGTAGGTTCAGGGAGCTGAATGACCTCTGACCGTTCTTAATGACTGAGCCTACTGGCTTGAGACAGTACCATTGGTCATGATAATGTAGGACTGGAGTCACATATAAGCTGAAAAGAGTGATATGCTCCCTCTCCTGCAGTAACGAACTCCATCTACTACTGTCCATTCACCCAGTGCACTCAATTTTCATCAATTTCCATATCCTTCCAATTTTTATCAACTTCAATAGCCCTCAACCCTCTGCACACCTCCCATTCCTATAACCAAGGGATCTGCATTTTTCCAATTGTAACCTTTTATGCATGCCCAATTTTAACTGCTCCACCAGTGATGGGGGCAGACATGCCTTCAGCTGCCAGGCTCCCAGCTCTGGAATTCCCTAAGGCTCTTTATTTCTCTCTGCTAAATGAAAATGCTCCTCAACACCTGTTTCCTCATAAGTCCTGACAGTTTATGGGCTTCTATCAAATTTTGTTGATGAGCAATGCTGTGAAGTATCTTAGAATGGTTTATTATATTAAAGTAGCTATGCAAATGTAAGTTATTGGTGTGCATTCAAGAGAAGAATTTTCTCAGTCTATCACAGGTACCATCAACTCTACGGAGATCAGAGACTGAAGCGTTCATCCTCCCAAACTGCTCGCTTATAATATAATAATGACTGATTCTAAATGCAAACTTATATTCCTTCTGTTCCTTCCCCACCATCCACACTGTTCCCGGCCGTTGCACTTCATCTCCTCTTTCCAATTATTCCCTTCCTCTCCACCTTTCTTAAACCTCCACTCTTCCAGTGGGAGAGGCAGAATCATAGCACCCCTACAGCGTGGAACCTGGCCATTCAGCCAACCAATTTCACACCAGCCCTCCAAACAGCATTGCACCCACACCTACCCTATCTCTATAACCCTGCGTTTCCCATGGACAACCCACCCAGCCTGTAACATCCCTGGATATCATGTGCAACTTAGCATGGCCAATCCACCTAACCTGCACATCTTTGGACTCTGGATAGAAACCAGAACATCTGGAGGAAACCCACGCAGACACAGGGAGAATGTGCAAACTCCACACAGACAGTTGCTGTAATTGAGCCTGGGTCCCTGGGTGCTGTGAGGCAGCAGTGCTAACCACTAAGCCACCATGCCACCCCCTAGCCTCCTGTGCTGCGTATTCCCAGGCAGTCTCCCATTCAAGTACTAATCAGGCCCAAGTCTGCTTAGCTTCCAACATCAGAGGAGATTGGGCGTTTTCAGACTAGTATGGCCGTAGGCTCAGACCAGCATGGCCAGTGGCTGGAAAACACGAGAAAGTAAGGTTGAATTAGACGTGACCAACTTTACATGAAAGGAGTGTGAGCTGGGAGAATGCTGACTTTCAAGAGTCACATGGATTCATAGGTGGATATTAGAGCATGTAAATAAAGGGCAGAGGCACTTAGCAGACAGCCAAAGCAACATGAGCCAATCTGAAAATACTAGTTGGTGGTGGGCTGGAGAAAGGATTAGAGGAAAGATTATGATCCTCAGCCCACCCACAACCCAGTCCAACAGGCTTGGACATTCTAGCGGCCTTCACCCGCAAGGTCAAGCTGAACAAACTCTCAATATATCTTACCGGTTTAAAGTCCAAGTCAGTGCATTCTTTCAAACTGGCCCGTACGAAGTCCACCCACTCTTTGTCTGCGACAGAATTTTCCTGAGTTCCAATAACATAGATGTCATGTGGAATGGTGACTGTTGTTTCATCCAGAGTTTTCCCAAGTCCCTTGGATATCAGCCAGGAAGCCAAGATTTTTGGAGGGGGTGCACTTCCTACTCGTTAATATTTTTTAAGAAAGAGAGAAAAATGGTTGAAAATTGTATTATAACACAAGTACCATTTTTTAAATAACAGAATAAGGGATCAGCTGCCAAATCCAGTTTTTTTTTTCGCCCATCCCTAATTACCATAGACAGTGTGGTAGTGAACGACCTGCTTGAACTGCTGTTTATTTTGTGTGGCTGAAGATGCTCCCACATTGTCACAAGGGAATAGGATCCATGATTTCTGACTCAGTAATGAAGGAACAGCCGATATATGTCAAAGCTGGACTTTTAACTTGTTTTTCTACAACTTTTCATTAGCAAGAGGGAAACTGAGGCTAGCTGCAGATCCCTGACGTGCTGCCATGTTCAGAGCAACTGAGGAGAATTGACCAGGAACAGAACCTTACTCTTCCCGACCTTTCTGATCAAACTAAGAAATGTGCCTAGGAGCAGACAAATGCAGGGGAGTAGTCAACACTATTATTTACTTCTATTCACTATGGAGGACTTCCTGGGAGACATTAACAGTGTTCAGCCTCAAAACAAGGTGATTTTAAAACAAGAAACAAGAAAAATACCAAAATCTACAATTTCTGCTATTGCACCAGTCATGACCCTTGTGCAAAGAGTTAGTGTCACAGAAAGAGCAAGTGCCAAGAACAGTGAGTGCACAGGAGACAGCGAGGCAAAGCTAGACAGTGAAGATGATGATACTATGGCTTTAAGAGGTGTATTTCATCCTGCTTTTTTTTTTTGAAGACAGGTTTTAATCTGTTGACTTGATTCCAGTAAAGTAAACCGCTTGTGAGGCCTTGGGGTTTTTCTTCAAGTTGGAACAATAGAAGCAGCCTGAATGAGTGGGGGTCAAGCTCTCCTAGAATCACAATCTTTAGTTTTAGTTTTTCAGTAGCGGTTGCTGGGGTCTTGAAGCTAGGTTTGGAAACTGCAGTACATCTCTCTCTGCTACTGAGTTTTCTCTTGACGTTTTTTCTCCTGGACTGGAGAATTGCCTCTGAGACAATCTGCTTTACTGAATTTGCCTTTGCCAAGAGTGTGTTTATGGGATGTTACCATATTGGAACAGTTAATTAGAAGAAGTTAATATACATTTTATTTTGTTAAGCATTTCAATAGAGTTACAGTTAGGCCAATTCTTTTGTTTGATTTTTATTTTGTCTGTACTTTAACCGTAGTCTAAAAATAAGTGTGTTTTGCTTAACGTCGAGTAGTTTGATCAATTGAAATGCATCTGGAACGCAACACCTTACAATTACCTTTAAAATAAGGAAAAGTTAGGATTAGACTATCTGATAATATATTTTGAGGGGGTTTGGTGTGGTTCATGACATGAGGCAGAGCAAGACAGTGAGGCAGGGTGAGAAAGATGGATAGACAGAGAGCCAACAGTAACTTTCAGAAGGAATTGAATAACGAAAATAGTTTCAGACTTGATGAGAAAAGTAGAGTGCGACTAATTTGAGTGTACTTTCAAAGAACTGGCAAAGGGGCTGTAGCAAAATGGCCTTCTCCTGTGCTGCACGATTCTACTGTAGGATTGGTTTTTTGGAGGAGAGAAGTCTGAGTCAAGCAATCACAGTTAAGTGAGAAGTGGAAAGCTGATCTGTGAGAAACACCATATCTAGTAGGATTTTTACCCATGTTCCAAGTGCCAATGAAGATAGAGATCATGTCCGGTTCATCCTGCTTGGAATGCTTGTTCTTCATAAGCTGCAAGAGTTGGCAAAAGGCCTCTCGTTTCTGAAAGACGAAGAAAAGAAAGAAACAAAGTTTTAAAGGTTGACAGTTTTCAAAGAGCCTAGGAGAAGATTTATGAATCACAATCTTACCTCACTTGTATTTCAGCTCAGTTTCAACAACCTGCAAATGCTACATTTTATCGAACTAAACTCTAGAAACGTCAGTGTGAATAAACTCTGATTGGGACCTCAGGGACATGTATGTGACTGACAGCAAAACTAAGATTACCAGATGTGTATTAAATTGTAGAGTGCTCCTAAAGTTGCTTCTTGAAGCTGATTGGTACAAATTTCAGTTGTGTCAAAAGATTTCCTTTTCTTTAAGGTAAGCTTGCCTGTATCATAAAAAGCCTTGTGCCCTTTAAGATGAGTTATGTACCTTCACTAGATATACAGCAGCCTAACGCAGAAGTCAGTTCTTTAAGAATTCCTTGCTACACTGCCTTGATACAATAATCGTCCATGTTACTAAGCTTCCCGGCTTGGAAATCTTGTGTCTGAACTATGGTCATCAATAGGCTGAAATCTCAGAAATCTCTCCCCAGTAGCGCCGTGGGATCGTCTTCACCACAAATACTGCAGCAATTCACAACAACCGCTTTCCAACTTTCCACCAGATGTTAGAGGTGCACATTAAATACCTTGTCCTGCCAGGAACACATTTCTTTTCTTAAAAATCTCTATCTAACCATCGTTTGATAAATGGATTAATTCTCACCATAAAGAAACAGGGCTGAAAACGAGTTCACAATACCATTAATTTTACAACTTGTAAAGCGGAACTGAGAGAAATGTCTGAACAAAACCTCAAAACAATATCATCTCTTTCTGCATTGCACTCTGTGAGCAATTAGTTTAGCAGGTGACTCTGACCTTCTCAGTAAAGTTGGACAGGAATGCAACAAATGGACACTTTTGTTATCTCAATTCAATGGTGTGCCCTGAATTTTATTTTCTCTATTCTTTATTGATTTGTGTTACAAAAATGTCATCTACCACATCTTCTCTATCTTTGGTGACCAGAGTGATCAATACCCGAGGTCATCATCTCTGGAACTGACATTTCTCTTCTCCTTGAATAAATTTCTTAAAGTCTCTCTTTGCCCAAGCTACTGGTTACCTGTTCTAACATCTCCAAAATCCAGATTAAAAACCCTCCTGCCAGTGTGTCTTGCTATATTAAAGGTTTGTACCACTTTTGAATGTGGGTTCTTTTGAAAAACTTATTCATGGCATGTGAGCATTACTGGCTATTCCACATCCTAAATTGTCCTCTAAGAGTCGAGTCCTCTTTGACTGCTATAGTCCTTGTGGTGTAGGTTAGGCCACAGTGCTATTAGAGAGGGAGTGCCAGGATTGGTGTAGGTTAGGCCACAGTGCTATTAGAGAGGGAGTGCCAGGATTGATGTAGGTTCAGTCACAGCATTGTTGGAGAGGCAGTGCCAGGATTGGTGTAGGTTTGGTCACAGCGCTGTTAGACAGGCAGTCATAGGATTGGTGTTAGGTCAGAATGGTGTGCAGTCTGGGGAGAAATTTACAGGAGGTGGTATTCCCATGTATTTGGTGCCCTTGTCTATGTGCCCTTATCATAGGTTTGGAAGGTACCATCCGAGGAACCTCACTTACTACTGTAGTACATGCTATAGATGGAACACACTGTTTCAATAGTCTGTCAGTGGCAAAGAGTGCGATAGTGGATGGTGATGGGTAAGGTGTCAACCAGGTCGGTTGCTTTGTCCTAGATGGTGTCAAGCTTCTTACTGGTTGTTGGAGCTGCACCCATCCAGGCAAGTGGGTTTTCGATTTGTGCCTTGAACATGGTAGCAGGGTTTGTTGAGTCAGGTTGTCAGTTGCTCACTACTAAGTCTCAAACCTTTGACCTGCTCAAACTGAGAATAAGTAGCCACTGGGAAGCTTGCAGTAGTGGATAACTCACCCTTGTAGTTTCAAAGATGAAATCCTTTCTCTGTGTTTTATCCTTCTCTTTCTCGAACACTATTCCCAGTTTGCTGTGGACACGTTGCGATTTTATCAACTGCCGAACTGATGAGGAAAGAAAACAAGAATTCACTAATGACCTCTAAAGTATTTGCTTTTCTGATGCTCATTTGACCAGGTCCAAACCTCTGGGGCCCAAGTGCAAAAGGCTGGAACCAGGAGGGCTGAATTTTAAAATCCTGAGATCAAACCTAAGGCTGACCGTAGTTCAACGATAATGCAAGCTGCTCACGCAAAATCATGGTCTCATATGATAAACAAATTCAGCAGGTTTGGCAGCAGTGGTGGGGGAGGAACAGAGTTAGTGCTGAATCCAATATGACTCTTTTTCAGAACTGATAGTCCCCTGCTATTCTTCCAGGGAATCCTTAAAACATGCACTTGTAACAAAGACATGACTTAATCCATTTTCTTGCTTGCACAGAACTGGTCAGGATATTTCAAGCAGAATGTGACAAATAGCCTCAGCTTTGCTGGTTGAGTGGGACGGTGATGCAGTGATTCTGATACTGGGCCACTGACAGAAATTGAATGCAATCAAATTGGTAACTTTGTTACCTAAGTAAAAAATACTGTAGAAGCTGGAAATGAGAATGAAATCTGAAAGACGCAGCAGTTCAGGCATCAGTGAAAAGAAACTGGGTTAATGTTTCAAGTCGATGATCTGTTTTGATGATAGGTGATTGTTAATATAACAAAAATAGAATTATGCAGGACAGAAAAGGTCCTTCAGCCCACTGACTCTGCATCAACAAAAACTAGTCAATCTAATCCCTCTTTCCAGCACTTGGCAATAAAAATTGTGACACTTCAAGTACTCATCCAAATACTATTTAAAGACTGTGACATTTGCCACCTCAACTACCCTCCCACATAGCGCATTCCCACTCCCTCTGGGCGAAAACATTTTACCTCAAATCCCCTCTAAACTTCCTGACTTTCACTTTAAAATTATGGCCCCTTGTTACTGGCCCTTTAACTGAAGGCAATAGGTGCTTTCTATTCATCCCGTCCATGCCTCTCAATCATGTCCCCACTCAGCCTTCTCTGCTCTTAAGAAAACAACCCGAGCTCATCAAGTCTCTTGTTTCTGAAACGTTCCATCCCAAGCAGCATCCTAGTGAATCCCCTCTGCATCCCCTCCAGTGCAATCACATCTTTCCGACAATGAGGCGACCAGAACTGCACACACTGCTCCAGCTGTGGCCTAACCAAAGTAATTAACATTAGAAGAGAAACGGGAGATGTCTGTTAATTGACTAACTAATGTCTAGATAATTAAAACAGATATAGTTGGGATCTGTTATAAGTCAAACAAACACTCTGGACAAGTAAAGTCCATATCTCTCCGTTTTCATTCGAACATCTCATTAGAATCTAGTAAGTCATCAACCTGAAATATTAATTCATGTTTCTCTTCACAGATGCTGCCTGATCTGTTGAGATTTGCAGCTTTTAATATCCTACAGAGTCTGTCCTATGTAATTCCAGCCCACACTTAATGGTGTCTGGGCACATTACAACTCAGTAATAAACAGTGCCTGGCTAGCATTGCTCACATCCCAAGAACAAACAGCACCAGTGACCGTCTAATGCAACAGAGCATCAGTACCTCTCATTTTATAACACAAGTTTAGTGCAAGGAGATGAGGTTTTATCCCATCTACTTTTGTTGCAGTTTTGCAATGAAAATTCACTCATACTTAGACTGCACCACCTGTATAAACTTCTTTCCATATAAATGCAACTTTCCTCTCCTCAAGCCATTCAGGATTGTTACTATTTACAGACTACAAACATCAAAATATTCCAGTGTCTCTCAGACAGCAACTGAAATTCCTCCATCAAAAGCATAGCAGACTGGACTTGGAGGAGAAAACACAAACAAAAGCTTAAAGGAGTATTAACAATGAACAAAACAAACTATTTCCTCTGGAGGGAGAATACAGAAAGAGCAGACACTGGACTTATTGAACAGGACTGAACCAGGAATCACAGATTCAAACAGGGAGAGAAAATTTGCAACATTTTCCTCCTCTCTTTCCCCCTCCTTCCAAAAGAGACCACAGATGCTCGAGATGCTAGAATCGAGATTATTAGATAAATGCATGGACAGTGAAGGATAAATAAGATGTAGAGTAGTCATGATCGATTTAATGTCAAAACAATTTTGAGATCCTGCACACATTTCTTTCTGTAATTAAGCCTGAACAGAAAAATGATGCAGTCTATCAGCTGGGCTCAGCCAACCATCAGAAAGTGAAGATGGTTTTACTCTGTATCTAAACCTGTGCTGTCCCTGTCCTGGGAGTGGTAGATGGGCATGTTACTTCACACAACAAACATTTAATACACTGTTCACTGCAGCAATCTTAGAGAAATACAATTGTGTTAACGCACTTAGACCCAAACATTGCCCAAACCATCCAGCACAATAGTACACTTCTCCTTACTCTTATCATATGTAAACGTATTCCAGTCCTCTTGTGGATCCTTGGATTTCTTCTGTACCACTAGCTTTCCTCCCTCCACGTCCACACTAAGTAGATACTTCTGTGATTTACCAATCTTTGTTAAATCAGTCAGGTTCACATCCAGTTTCACCTGAGGAAGAGAACAGAACAAGTGTTTAGATTATTCTTTCAGTGACAATTGATGATCCTTGTAGTTCTTCCATTCACCTTTTACGTATCAGCTTTACGTCAGTGAGTGACATGAGCCAAATGGTCATGGATTCAAATCCCACTCTGTAGACTGGAGTACATAACTCAGGCTTACACTCCCAGTGTAAATACTGAAGGAATACCATATTGCCAGAGGTGCCAATTCTTGGATAAAATTTCTGCCCTCTTAAGTAGTAGTAAATTTCATAGGGCCTATTTTGAAGATGAAAGCTGAAGGTACAGAATGACAACCAGCTCTATTTGGAGACACATTTGTCACCGAACACATCGCACCTCTGAAAGCATTTTAGATCAAAGGAGGTCATATTCAGAGCATCGTGTTTGTATCAGCTCCTCAAATTCTCTCATTTCTTTGGGCCTTTCTCATTATACCAATCTTTACCTTCGTGTTCCTTTTTTTTTTAAAAAAAGGAACTTACCATTGTATCTGCCTTCCACTGCCCTTTCAGGCAGTACATCCTGATCAGTTTGCTTGCCTTGTGCAAAAGAGACATTTTTACCACCCCTCAAATACTTTTGCCAATTACCCTCAATCCATATCCCAGGCATATCAATTCCCAACCAGTATCCACTCTATACAAAGGTGTCATCATTTGGAGCATCTCTATTAAAATACACCTTTACCCTGCCTGTTCTTAATGAAAACAACTCTGGACTATCGATGTAACTGAAATCTCTCATTCTAGTCACAAAGCTACCAATTATAACAGAAAATTCGTCAAATGGATGCTGTTGGACCTGCTGAGCACTGCGTTCTCTACCAGATTTCCAATTAGCTGCAGAACTTTAATTTGTCACCTAATCTGGTGAATTAGAAGATTGGCAGATGTCATGCTCCTTTCAACGTACTGTCAAGGACAACAAATCTAGCATATCTCCATATTCTACAGTGCTTTGACATCTTTCTCAAAGTGTAGTGCCCAATATTGGCCACAGTGCTTGAGCTGATGCAGAACCAAATTAAACAAACCCCCCAAATTTATCATCAGACCAAATTATATTTCTGGGCATGCAGGATGAGGAATTAGCAGTGACTGTCCCAAGGGTGAGAGACATGTCTGTTCCCAAGTAAAGGCAGGTCATTACCTCAAATGCTTGCACAGGAATACTCTTCGCCTTCCGAGGTGCTGTGTGAGAGAACATCGAAGACTGCGACGTGAAGCTGGGGCAGGAACTCATCTCCTGTAGTGCTTTCAATGCCTGAAGATTATAAAGTCAGTGCACACAAGACTAGTATATTGCACATTTTTATTCAATGCTGACAACTTTAAGGGCTTAATTAAAGTTCCCTTCTAATTTCATCCTTCGGATTTGTGCTTGTGAAATATAGGTTTTGAAAAATCAGGCAGAGAGCTCACTTCTACCCATCATAGCAAAGTGCGACATCACCGAAAGACAGGTATTTCTTTAGTGACTCTTTTGATTAGCTATAGGGTTTAAATCATGAGATATTATTACAGCTGAACAGTACAGTCAAGAAATTAACTTGTAAAGTATTTAACATCCAAATGAATTAATTAAAAAGATTAGAAAGGACTGGGCAGGCAATGTTTTGCAAGCTGTGAAAGGATGGGGGAGTTCAAAAATAGGGGGCATATTTTTAAGGAGCGAGAAGAAAAATATAAAAAGGACACAAGGGGCAACTTTTTTTTTTAAAACAGTGGTTTGTAGGTGGAATAAACGACTAGAGGAAGTAATGGATGCAAGTACAGTTGCAATATTTAAAAGACATTTGGAGACATTTGAATCAGTACATGAATAGGAAAGGATTGGAGGGATATGGGCCAAATGCAGGCAGGTGGGACCAGTTTGGTTTGGGTTCATGGTCGCCGTGGGTTAGAGACAATAAGGATGGCAGATGCTGGAAAAGCACAGCAGGTCAGACAGCATCCAAGGAGCAGGTAGGTCAACCCTTCGTCAGGACTGGGAAGGGGGAGGAGAGCCCATAAATAGAGGGGGGGGGGGGGGGGGCTGGGAAAAGGTAGGAGAGATGGTGATGGTGGATGCAGATAGGTGGTTAGTGCAATTGGCCAGTGGGAAGGATGGTGCAGATAGGTGAGTGGGAAGATGGACAGGTCAGGTCAGGTCAGGTCAGGAGATGGGGAGAGCTGGACATGGGATAAGGCTGGGGGTGGAGGGATTTTGAAGCTGGTGAAGTCAATGTTAAGGCCATTGGGCTGTAAGCTTCCAAGGCGAAATATCAGGTGTTGTTCCTCCAGTTTACATTTGGCCTCAGTCAGACAGGGGAGGAGGCACAACGGACACGTTGTCGGGGGAGTGGGAGGGGGAGTTAAAATGGATGGTAACCAGAAGGTTGGGTTGGTTGTTGAGTGCTCTGCAAACCGGTCCCGAAGTCGGTGTTTGGTATCCCCAATATAGAGGGGATCACATTGGGAGCAACAGATGCAATAGATCAGATTGGCTGAAGTGCAGGTGAATCTCTGCCTGATCTGGAAGGATTGTCTTGGGCCTTGGACGGAGGTGAGGGGGGAGGTGTGGGGGCAAGTGCTGTACCTCGTGAGGTTGCAGAGAGAGGTACAGACTGTAGTGGAGGAATTGGTGGGGACCTGACAAGGGACTGACATTTCCGAAACCTACAAACAGACCCCATCACCAAAAAGATACTTCCCCACACCTCCTCCACCCCGTCCACTTTCCGCAGGGACTGTTCATTCCATGACTCCTTCATCTCCTACAAACACTGTCTAAGACATAATCTTCCGAAAGTATAAAAAGAAAAAGGGCACAACTACCCAACCCTAACAAGAGGTTTATTATGGTTTAACATAATTTTGTGCTTTCAACTTTATGCTTCTTTTTATAAAGCTAAAGATTTTTAATGCATTTTTAAAGCACCCTTCTCACTTGCCCAGCCACTTTCAAAGGTTTGCATACACACTAATCCTACACCATCTTCAAAAGTGCATAACTTACTTTTTATCTCCCGTCATTCTGACTACCCAAGTTAACTATTTTTCACACTCCTCATTAAATTCTATTTTCGCACTTTTGCCCATTTCACCAGACGATATCCTTCCACAATCTGTAATCATCATTTTTTTTAAATGACACAATGCTTTCCACAGCATTTTTCGATATTATTTCCTATCTGCTCAAGCACAGGTTATTAATATACATCACAAATTGCAGTGGCCTCAGTACTAACCCCTGGGGATATCACTGTACATTTTCCTCCAGTTTAAAAAGCTGTTTACCACTGCTCTTTGTTCCTTAGCCAAATTTACTTGTGCACTTCATGCCATGGGCTTTAATTAGTCTCTTAAATAGTATTTAGAAGATGCCTTCTGAACGTCCAGATAACATTCGCTATATTACCCTCATCAACATTTTTATTCAATTACATGATTAAAGAACATAAGTTGGTCAAGCACAACTTGCTTTAACAAATCCACTCTGGTTTTCATTTACCAATCCCTTATTTTGCCAAGTATGAATCTTACTTGTTGTAGATTAATCAAAGAACTTTGCAACACAAAAGGTGACCAAAGGGTCCTTCAAGCTTGTGCTAAAGTTATCCAATTGTAACTTTTCTGCAGAAAGAGCCATTTCATTGTTGCAGTAAAATCTGGGACAAGAGATGCTAACAATTTGAGAACTTGAATTCAGTCTTAAAAAGAAAACCTGGAAATAACAAAGCAGGGATCAGTAAAAATACCATAAAATCGTTTGATTGCTGTTAAAGTCATTAATTCATTAATGTTCTTTCAGAAGGGAACCTAACATCCTCACTTTGCCTGGGCTAACAGAAATGTGGACAGGCCTTAACATCCCTTCCAACTGATAAAGCAATGTATTTAACTAAAGATTCAATATTACCTAGTAGGAGACAACTCCAGTAATAATAGCCAGTCTTGTGAGAATAAATCTAAAATAAACAACAATTAAGTAACACATTGCAATCAACAGGAGAAACTTCCAACGATTACATCCGGTTTTATTCATCCATCCAAAGATCATGAAGCCTGTCGGACTTCCTCCTCTTCCTCCCCATAATTCCTGCATGCCAAGGCTATATGGAAAGCCAAGTTGATGTTCTAAAAATTTCCCCACCAGCAATGTTAAGTTTATTAGTCTGAGGTTGTCAGGTTTATCCCTTTCCCCTTTTCTGAACAAAGGTACGATTCACAATCCTCCAGTCCTTTGGTGCCATCCCGACTGGATACAGTAATCCAGTTTCTTCACAGGAATTCTGGAATAGCCATTCAACGGCACCAGATTCACAGTAATGGTTCAAGAATACAGGTCACCACCACTTTCTCAACAAATTCTGGTCCAGCCAGAGATGCGCACATTCAAGCAAGAATAAAGGATACACAAGGAGGACTGAAATATTGTTGCCCAAAGAACCATGTATCTGAAGCCCCAGATCTCTGTTCGACAATCTACCCAGGGCTCTTACCATTAACTGTACAAGTCCCGCCCTTGTTCACTTTACTAAAATAAAATACCTCGCATTTCTGACTACCAAGTTAATTACTTTTCACTATCCACATTAAATTCTATGTTCACACTTCCACAATTTCTATCCTTTCTTCCCTCAACAGCAAAGGCTGCATCTAGACTGGGTCAGCTTCTAGTGGTTTTTATTCTTTTATGGGGTATAGGCTTCGCTGGCAAGGCCAGCATTTGTTGCCCAACCCCAACTGCACTTGAACCGACTGGTTTGTTCGATCATTCCAGAGGGCAATTATGCGTCAATCAAGTCATTGTGGGTCTGAAGTCCCAGACCAGGTAAGGACAGAAGATAGGAAAAGCTCTGCAGGTCTGGCAGCGAATGTGAAGAAAAAAAGTCAGAGTTAACGTTTCCAATCCGGTGACCCTTTCTCAGAGGAAGGGTTACTGGACCCAAAACATTAACTCTGATTCTTTTCTTCACATTCGCTGCTAGACCTGCTGAGGTTTTCCAGCAACTTCTGTTTTCATTCCTGATTTACAGCACCCGCAGTTCTTTCAGTTTTTTTTTCAGGATAGAAGATTTCCTTCCCTAAAAGACATTTGAACCCAAGCATGAACCTGGCAATCTGCTCTACTGGTCCAGTAACATTACAACACCTCCATCTTCCCACATGCCACCTTATAAGCACCACCCAATTACTGATTTCTATTCTATTCATTACACCACAAGACTCTGGAAGAGAAGCAGGCCATTTGGCCCATCAAGTCCTTTGCGCCACTCAATGAAATCATGGTTGATCCGATAATCCTCAACCCCACTTTCCTGCCTTTTCACCATAACCCTCAATTACCTTACTGATTAAAAATCTGTCTATTCCAGCCGCGAATATACTTAACAACCAAGCGTCAAGAGTCCTGTGGTAAAGAATTCCACAAATTCACTATCCTCAGAGAAGAAATTCCTCATCTCCGTCTCAAACACGTGACAACTACTCTGAGATTATGCCCTCTGATCCTAGGGTCTCCTGCAATGGGAAACAACTTTGTCAAGTCCCCTATGAATCTTTTGTTTCAATAGGATCTCTTTTCAGTCTTCTAAACTCCAATGAGTATGAGCCCTACCTACTCAAACACTCCTTATAAGAATATCCTTTCATACCCAGGGTCAACCTTGTGAACCTGCTCTGCACTGCCTCCAATACCAGTACATTTTTCCTTAGATAAGGGGCCCAAAATTGTTCACAACTTTCCAGGTGTATTTTTACACTCCATTCCCTTTGAAGTAAAGGTCACCAGTTCATTTGCCTTCCCTATTACCCACTGAACTTGGATTCTAGCTTTTTTTAATGATGCATGGATGAGGACTCCCAAATCCCTCAGTGCTGTAACTTTCTGCAGTCTTTCTCTATTTCAATAACATTCAGCTCCACGATTCTTCCTGCCAAAGTACACAAGTTCAATTTTCCCACACATTATATTCCATCTGCCAAATTTTGTGCACTCAATTAACCAGTCTGCAACTCTCTGCAGACTGCACTCTCACCACTTGCCTTCCTCACTTATTTTTGCGTTACCTGCAAAATTGATAGTAGAACATTGACGTCCCTGATCAGAGTCATTAATATATATATATATATATAGTGAATAATTGTGGCCCCTGCACTGATCCCCAAGCCAGCTGGTTACAGACAGCAATCCCTTTATCTTCTATTAGTTAGTCAATCAATCCTTTCTCTGTTCAATTTTTCAGTATTTCCACTTTCAAGGCAACAATGATATTGTGCTTAAGTGAAAACAGATGGAAAGTATTTTTTTGGTCACTCAACCATGTCTACTGCATTCACAAAATCTTTTTAGCATCTCTGTTCAAGTGCCCAATCAGCTTCACTCTTCCTTTGCTAACTGCTTTACTATTTACAGCCACAGTACCATTACAGCACAGGAGGTGGCCATGTGGACCAGAGTTCTGCCAGCATTAGCAGACAGTCCGTAGTCAGTCTCATTCTCCTAGCTCCAATGTCGTTATAAAAGATGTAGAAGCAGGATTTAGATTATCAATGACAGTGAGGAAAACCAGGCACTTAGGCTGATCAATGCTTATTATCCCCTCCAGATGGGCAAGCTCATGGACTATCTTTCTCATTCATCAGTAAAGCCTCACACAGGAAGGCTGACTCGTGCTTTTTTTTTTTTACTTCCTCTGTGAAAGATTAAAAACTCTTAAAAACTATTTTTGTGCTGATGAATAAGATAATACAACTGAGAATGTAATCAGCATACCCAGCCAGAATGTTAAATGTTAAAGCAGCGTGAGCAAATTATTTGGGGAGGCCATTGCGTAAAAAGAGTGCGAGTTTCTACTTTTAAAAACAAACCACAAAAGGCACTAACTGCAAACCTTCTGGGTTGTACTAATAGAAACCACTCATTATACACACGAGTATATTAGCCACTCACCTTGCGCTCCATAGATGACAGGAGGTCCTTCAGGACAGAGAGCTTCACAACTAGATTTTCCAACTCCTGATCGCCACCCTGACTGCTAGCCTGCAAAAAAAAATACATGCCACTTCAATCAGCACAAAACCTAGCCAAGGGAGTAACAAACAGTTGGGATTCAATCTAATATCAGAGGAAGACAGTTATACAGACAGATTGTTTGTCTCTCAAGGCAATAAAGAACATGGGGAGTGTTGGGAAAGTGGAGTTGAGGGCAAAGATCACCCACGATTATATTGAATGCACTGAAACAGTCAGTGGGCTGCATGGTCTACTCCGGCTCCCATGTTTCTTATTTCCTTATGAAGGAACAGACAGATTCCTACTTAAAGCTGAGATGAGGAAGATTTTCATCTGAGACCCACTAGTCTATACAATTCCATCTTACAGACAGCAGGACAAGTTTTTTTAATTCATATGAGGGACACGGGCATCAGTGGCATTTCACAGAATCAATTTATTGCCTGTCCCTAGTTACCCTAGAGAGGGTGGGGGTGAGCTGGTTTCCTGAACCATAAGAAGATAAGAACATAAGAAATAGTAGGAGTAGGCCTTCTGGCCCATTGAGCCTGCTCCACTATTCAATAAGATCCTGGCTGATCTTTTTGTGGACTCAGCTCCATTTACCTGCCCGCTCACCCTAACCTTTAATGTTCAAAAATCTATCCATCTTTGCCTTAAAAACATTCAATGAGGTAGTCTCAAATACTTCACTGGGCAGGGAATTCCACAGATTCACAACCCTCTGGGTGAAGAAGTTCCTCTTCAACTCAGTCCTCAATCTGCTCCCCCTTATTTGGAGGCTCTGACCCCTAGTTCTAGTTTCATCCACAAGTGGAAACCACCTCCGTGCTTCTATCTTACCTATTCCCTTCAGGACTGAGAGCTTCACAACTAGATTTTCCAACTCCTGACTGACACCTTCTACAAGATCTTTCTTCTAAACTCCAATGAATCCCAGTCTACACAAACTCTCCACATAAGTTAGCCTTCCCAACCTAGTGAACCCCCTCAAGTGCCAGTCCATCCTTTCTCAAATAAGGAGACCAAAACTATGCAGTACTCCAGGTGTGGCCTCACCAGCACCCTATACAGCTACAGAATAACCTCCCTGTCTTTAAACTCTATCCCTCTAGCAATGAAGGACAATATTCCATTTGTCTTTTTAATTAACTGCTGCACCTGCAAGCCAACTTTGTGTGATTCATGCACAAGGACACCTCTGCAACTTTTCACCATTGAAATAATAGTCCATCTTGCTGTTTTTCCTATCAAAATGGATGACTTCACATTTACCAACATTGTACTCCATCTGCCAGAACTTTGCCCACTCACTTAACCTATCTATATCCTTTTGCAGACCTTCTGTGTCCTCCGCACACTTTGCTCTACTACACATTTTATTGTCACCTGCAAACTCAATCAAACAACTGCGGTCCCAACACTGAGGACACACCACTAGCCACTGATTACAAACCAGAAAAACACCCATTTGTCCCCATACTTTACTTTCTGTTAGTTAGCCAATCTTCTACCCACGCTAATACATTACCACGACACCATACATCTTTTTCTTATGCAGCAGCCTTTTTGCAGTACCGACGAATGCCTTCTGGAAATCCAGATCCAGATCCATCACATCCAACAGTTCTCCGTTGTGCACTGCGCTCTTAATTTCCTCAAAAAATTCCAGTAAATTAGTTAAACACGATCAGCCTTTCATGAACCCACGCTGTGTCTGCCAGATGACAATATCTATCCAAGTCTTGCTATTTCTTCCTTGATATAGAATTCCGGTATTTTCCTAACTACAGAAGTTAAGCTAACAGGCTTACCTCCTTTTACTTTCTACCTCCTTTTTTAAACCATGGCATCACATTTGCTGTTTTCCAACCTGCTGGAACTGCCCCAGAGTCCAACAAATTTTGGTGAATTACTATGAGCGCACCTGCTATTTCCCCCGCCATCTCCTTTAGTACCCAGGGATACATTCCAGAATACTTGTCTACCTTTAGCCCCATTAGCTTGCCCAACACTACCTCTTTAGTAATAATGATAGATTCCAGGTCCTCGCCTGCCACAGCCCCCTCGTCATCAATTATTTGCATGTTATTTGTGTCTTCCACTGCAAAGACCGACACAAAATACCTGTTCTAACGTCTCAGCAATTTCCTCATTATTAAATCCCCCTTCTCATCCTCTAAGGGACCAATGTTTACCTTAGCAACTCTTTCGTTTTATATATTTATAGAAACTTTTGCTATCTGTTTTTACATTGAGCTAGTTTACTCTCATAATCCATCTTACTTTTCTTCATAGCTTTTTCCATGGCTTTCTGTTGACATTTAAAAGATCATAGTTTCCCACTAATGTTTGCCACTTTGTATGCATTTGCATTCAATTTGATACCCTCCTTTATTTCCTTAGTTATCCATGGCTGATTTTCCCTTTTTCAACAGTGCTTCCTTCTCACTGATATATACTTTTGCCAAGCACTGTGAAAAATCACTTTGAAAGTCCTTCAATGTTCCTCAGTCGTCCCACCGTATAGTCTTTGCTCCCAGTCTATCTTAAACTCCTCCCTCATCCCATTGTAGTCTCCTTTAAGCACAAGATACCGGTATTGGATTTTACCTTCTCACCCTCCATCTGTATTTTAAATTCAAATATATTGTGATTGTTTGTTCCGAGAGGATTCCTAACTATGAGATCATCAATTATTCCTGTTTCATTACACAAAACCATGATCTAGGACAACTTGCTCCCTCATCGGTTCCATTACATACTGTTCGAAGAAATGATCATGGATGCATTCTATGAACTCCTCCTCAAGGGTGCCTTGACCGACTGGATTTGACCAATCAAAATATAGATTAAAATCCCCCATAATTGCCATACCTTTTCTACATGCATCAGTTATTTCTTTGTTTAATATCCACCCCACCACTGCATGTCCTTAGGAAGGGAATTCTAGGATTCTGATCCACTGACACTGAAGGAACCGTGATACATTTCCAAATTGGGATGGTGAGTGACTTGGAGGGGAACTTGCAGGGGGTGGTTTTCCCAAGTATCTGCTGCCCTTGTCCTTCTAGGTAGAAGTGGTTATGGGTCTGGAAGATGCTGTCTAAGGAGCTTTGGTGAATTTCTGCAGTGCATTTGTAGATGATGCACGCTGCTGCTACTGAGCATCGCTGGTGGAGGGAGTGGATGTGGTGCTAATCAAGCGGGCTGTTTTGTCCCAGATGGTATCAAACTGGAGTGTTGTTGGGACTGCACTCATCCAGTCAAGTGAAGAGCATTCCATCACGCTCCTGCTTGTGCCTTGAAGGTGGTAGACAGGCTGAGAGGAGTCAGGAAGTGAGTTAGTCACTACCATATTCCTAGCCTCTGATCTGGTCTTGTAGCCAGTGTTTATGTGGCGAGTCCAGTTGTGTTTCTAGTTAATGGTAACCTGCCTCCAGGTTGTTGGTAGTGGAGGTTTCGGTTATGGCAAGACCATTGAATGTTTAGGGGCGGTGGTCAGACTAGAATCATAGAATCACTACATCGTGGACAAACGCAAATCCGCTGTTGAGTCTGCACCGACCACTCCAAAGAGCACCCCTCCCAGACCAACCCTTCCACCCATCCCCATAATCCCACATTTCCCATGGTTAATTCTCCTAGTCTACGCATCCTTGGACACTATAGATAATTTAGCATGGGGAATCCACTTAATCTGCACATATTTGGACTGTGGGAGGAAACTGGAGCACCCGATGGAAAAAGACATGGGGAGAACGTGTAAATTCCTTACAGACAGTCACCTAAAGCTGGAATTGAACCAGAGTCCCTCAGGAACTCCTGCAGATATGCCCTGCAGTTGAGATGACTGACCTCCAACAGCCACAACCATCCTCCTATATGCCAGGTATCTCTCCAACCACCAGAGAGGTTGCCCTCTGTATCCATTGATTCCAGTTTTGCAAAGCTTCTTGATGCCATTCGGTCAAATATGACCTTGACGCCAATGGCTGTCACTCTCACCTCACCTCTGGAATTCAGCTCTTTTGTCTGTGTTTGAACCAAGGCTGTAATGAGGTCCGTAGCTGAGGGACTCTGGTGCACCCAAAGTGGCCTCCAGTGAGGTTAATGCTGGGCAGGTGCTGCTTGACAGCACTGTCGATGACACCTTGCATCACTTTACTGATAACTGAGGATAGACTGATGTGGCAGTAATTAGTTGGGGTAGATTTGTCTTGCTGTGTGTGTGCAGGACATACCTGGGCAATTTTCCACATTGTTGGATAAATGCCAGTGTTGTCGTCGTACTGGAAGAACTTGGCTAGGGGAGTGGCAGGTTCTGGAGCACAAGTCTCTTGTTGACAGGGCCCATAGCCTTTGCATTAACCAGTACCTCCAGCTGTTGCTTGATACCACATGGCATAAATTGAATTGGTGGAAGACTGGTACCTGTGATGCTGTGGGGCCTCTACAGGAGGCCGAGATGGGTTTTCCAGTTGGCGCTTTTGGCTGAAGATTTCAGCCTATACAGTATTTAAGATTTTTGATTACTAAGGGAGTTGAGGGGTATGGGATGGACAAAGACATACAGCAGAGTAAAACAGAGACCAAAAAAAAGTCAGTCATAATCTTATAGAATACAGTACAGCAGGGCTGAGTGGCCTACACCTGCTCCTTATTCTTGTGAAAAAGTTCACTCACGCTGATCTCACTGACATAAAGGGAAATAAGATAAAATCATAGGTTTAACAATCAAAGAATTCATATCTTAAGATAGAAAACATTAGTACCTGCTGGATAAGCCGTGTCAACAATGGAGAACTTTGTTGGTCAAATATTTTGGATAATATTTCCAGGCCAGCCAGGACTTTATCAACTTCACTGGAAAGAGAATATAAAATCTATAAACAATATGTGGGCGAGGTAAAACATTTAAAAACCAAAAGAACTGTGGATGCTGTAAATCAGGAACAAAAGCAAAGTTACTGGAAAAGCTCAGCAGGTCCGGCAGCATCTGTGAAGGAGAAAACAGAGTTAACATTTCGGGTCCGGTGACCCTTCCTCAGAACATTTAAAACATTTAACTGTGGGAACCAGGTAATATTTTACAGACATAGCAGGGTAGTGATTACTTTCTGGACTAACATAAGAAATAAAAACCAGGAGTGGGCCATTTGTCCCCCCAAGTATGCTGTGCCATTCAACAATCTGCCTCAAACCTCAACTCTTCTATTGTGCCACATTGTCATGAGTAATCCATAAGGTAGTGATCTAAAAATTGTAAATTGTCTTTGAACATTGCCCAGAACACTGAAAATCCTGTGTCATGGGTTCATTAGTTCCACATGAACAGATTGTTCCAATTAAGGAGTCAAACTTTGGTCCCATTAATGTTGCTGCATGCGGAGGCTGTATCTCAAAACATAGCACACTTACATATCAGTCAGAAAGCAGTGCCCTGAACCACCAGCTACTCCAGAGGCTTGAACACAAGCATTTAGGTTGATGTTTAGTGCAACACTGTTGGAGGAAATGTTAAATCAAGATCTTGCTCTCTCGGGTTGGCATAAAGGGTCCTGTGGTATTAGCAAGTAGTGTGCTGGCCAATATTTATTTTTCAACCAATAGCAGAGACATTATCTGGTCAACATATAAATTGCAAATTTTAGGAATCTACTGTGAGCAAATTAGCTACTGCATTTACAAAAGACCAGCTACACTTCAGATGAGTTTAATTGACAGCAAAGATTTTGGAACTTCACTCGGTTTGAAACGAGCTGGATAAATACATGTCTTTCTTTCAGCACTTCCTTACAACTTTACTGAAATGTCAGCCTAGATTGTGGGCAACACACAGTAATGACACAGAAAGCAGCCAACTGACCCACTGGATTCCTGAAACAGCTCTCCAGCCCTCATCCCACTTTACAGCTCCTGCTCTGGAGCCAACACCTCAAAAGCTTATGCATAACTTTTTTTTAAAAATGCTGACGGTTTCTGTATCTACCATTTCAACTAGAAAGTTCCAGAACCTCATCAATGCAGGCAAAACAAAAATGACTCAACTTCTCTCTAATTCACCCAACAGGTGTTTTAAATCTACATCCTCTGGTCACTCACTCTCCACTAATGGAAATAGAGCCATATAAGTATATATAGCCTAACCAATCTGTCCTAACAGCTAAAATTCTCCAACTTTGGTAAATTTCTCAGAAATTTCTTCTGTACAGGGAGTTCTTCTATAATGCGATAGTTGCGTTCTGGCATGACCTCGCGCTAGAGAAAATCACGTTATAGGGAAATCGCTATAGAAAATTGCTACACTTGTACAGCAGGAAGTTCGCGTTATCCAAACAGCGTCCACTATTCATAAATCGTGTTACAGCCAACTCGCGTTAACAAAATATGCATTGTAGCAGAACTTCCTGTACCTTCTCTGGGGCGATCACAACATTCCTGTAAAGCTATGACAAGCAATGTATGCAGTAGCCTATCTGTGCACAACCCACAGTCTCTGCTTCAGACAGTAAAGGAAAAGTACCCAGTGCACCTTTTTGAATACACTTCTACTTGCCGTCTTTTTGTTTACAAATCCACATCCAAGGCCTTTCTGTTCCTTCACATTTCTCAGAAAATGACTATTTACGTGCATTCCCTTGCCCACATTGTCCTCCTGGAATGTATTCCAGAGACGTCAACTGAGCCAAAATAGGCTTACGAAACTTGAATTCAAATGGTATGCAACTTAGGAGGAATCGTTCATGAAATTTTTTTTAAAGAGCTTCTGTGCTTATAGTCAACCATTCAAAGAGGTTTATACATATCCATATAGTACACACGAGGGAAGTGGAGAGAATTCCTCTATGTTGCACTATTAATTTAGCCAGTAAGGAGATGGTGGTATAGTATGATTGGACATGTAAATCCAGAAGCCCAGGCTAATGTTGTGCATAAAATCCACCACGGCAGCTAACTGTAAGACCACAAGCAGCAGGAACAGGAGTAGGCTATTCCGCCCCTCGAGCATGCTCTGTCATTCAATAGGATCATGGCTGATCCAACATTCCTTACGTCTACTTTACTATGCTTCCCCCAAAACTCGATTCCCCAACTGATTAAGAACCTCTCTCAGCCTTAATACACACAAGGGCTCTACCCCCACAGCTCTTTGTGGCAAGGAGTTCCAAAGACTCCTGACTGTCTGCGAGAAGAAATTCCACTTCTCAGTCTCAATTTTGAGACTATGCCCAATGGTCCTAGACTCGCCCAAGGGGAAATGTCCTCTCAATATTGATCCTGTCGAGCTTAAGGATCCTGTATATTTCATTGAGAACACCTCTCATTCTAAATTTTAATGAGTCCCAACCTGTTTAACCTTTGCTCATGAGATAATCCCTCCACACCAGAGATCATCCCAGTAGTCCTTCTCTGAACTGCCTCCACTCAATCATATGTTTCCTTAAATAAGGGGACCAGGATTGCTCTCAGTACGCCAGATGTGGTCTCACCAGCACCTTGTACAGTTGCAGTAAGATTTCCCTACTCTTATACTCTAAGCCACTTGAATGAAGGGCTAACATTCTACTAGCCTTTCTCATTACCTGCTGCATCTATGTGTTAAGTTTGTGTGTTTTGGGCACAAGTTCCCCCAAGTCGGTTTTCTGGAGCAGCTTTCTGCAGTTTTTCTCCATTTAATTAATAGCCTGTTTTTTCGTTCTCCCTTCCAAAATGAACAACTTCACATTTCCTCAGATTACAATCCATTTGCCAACATTTTACCCACTTATTTAACCTATCAATATCTTTCAATAAACTTTGCATCCCTCTTGTAACCTGCCTTTCCACCTATTTTTGTGTCATCTGCAAATCTGGTGACAGTACATTCAATTTCTTCTTCCAAGTCATTAATATATACTGTAAACAGCTGTGGTCCTCGCACTGAACCCTGTGGAACCTCACTGGTTACAGGTTGCCAACCTGAAAAATAACTGACTTCTACATCGCTGAGGCCAGACGCCAACTCTCTGACATCTCCTCCTACCAGCCCCTCGATCACGACCCCACCTCTGATCACCAAGCCATCATCACCCAGACCATTAACAACCTTATCACCTCAGGAGATCTTCCGTCCACAGCGTCCAACCCCGCACTGTCCGTTTCTATCTCCTACCCAAGATCTAAAAACTCGACTGCCCCATTGTCTCTGCCTGCTCTTGCCCCACTGAGCTTATCTCCTATTACCTGAACTCCGTTCTTTCCCCTTTGGTCCAGGAACTCCCCAGCTAAGTTCAGGACACCACCCACACCCTCCACCTTTTCCAAAACTTTCAATTCTCCAGCCCCCAACACCTCATCTTCACCATGGATGTTAAGTCCCTGTACATCTGTATCCACCACGAGGATGGCCTAAAAGCCCTCAGCTTCTTCCTCTCCTGTAGGCCCACCCAGTCCCCCTCCACTGACACTCATTCTCTTGGCAGAACTGTTCCTGACCCTTAACAACTTTTCCTTTGATTCCTCCCACTTCCTACAAATCAAAAAGAGGTGGTTATGGGCACCCACGTGGGCCCAAGCAATGCCTGTCTCTTTGTAGGATTCATGGAACAGTCCCTCTTCAACAACTACACTTGCACCATCTCTCACCTCTTTCTCCGCTACACTGATGACTGTATCGGTGCTGCCTCATGTCGCTGCGAGGGGTTCAAACAGTTCATCAACTTCAACACCTTCTACCGCACCTTCAAATTCACTTGGAGCATTTCTGATACCTCCCTCCCCTTCCTGGACACCTGTCTCCACATCTTGTAAACAATTCGTCACTGACATCCATTTCAAACACACTGACTCCCACAATTATCTTGACTACACCACCTCTCACCCACCCTCCTGCAAAAATTCTATCCCATATTCACAATTCCTCTGCCTCCACCATGTCAGCTCCAAAGATGAGGCATTCTACTCTCGGACTTCCCAGATATGCTCCTATTTTAGTGGCCGTAGTTTCCCCTCCTCTATTATTAAGGATGCCCTCAACCACATCTCCCCCAATTCCCACACTTCTGCCCTCAAACCCTCTCCCCCCACCAACAATAAGGATAGAGTCCCCTTGGCCCTCACATATCACCCCACCAACCTCCAAATACAACACATCATCTCACAACATTTCTGCCACCTACAATCAGACCCCACCACCAAAAAAATATTTCGCTCCCCACCCCTGCCTGCTTTCCTCAGGGACCGTTCACTCCCCGACTCCCTAGTCAGCTCCACACATCCCACCAACCCCTCCAACACAGCCTGTACCTTTCCCTGCAACTGCAGGAGGTGCTACACCTGCTCCTACAGCTCCCCATCACATCTGTCCAAGGCCCCAAACAATCTTTCCAAATCCAGCAAAGATTCACCTGCACTTCATCTAACCTCATCTACTATGTCCGTTGCTCCTGATGTAGTCTCCTCTATACTGGGGAGAGCAAACGCAGACTTGGGGACTGGTTTGCAGAGCATCTGTGCTCTGCACGCACCAACCAACCCGACTTTCCAGTTGCCATCCACTTTATCGCCCCCTCACGCTCCCCTGGTGACATGTCCATCCTTGGCCTCCTGCACTGTCAGACTGAGGCCAAATGTAAACTGGAGGAACACCACCTCATATTTCACCTTGGGAACTTATAGCCCAATGGCCTGAATATTGACTTCACCAGCTTTAAAATCTCTCCTCCCACAACCTGTCCATCTTCTGACTCACCTATCCGTTCCACCCTTCCCAGTGACGAACGACAATAACTGCCTACCTGCATCCACCTATCTCCATCTCACCTACCCTTCCCCCAGCTGCACCTCCTCCATTTGTTTCTGAGCTACCCTCCCCAGTCCTGACGAAGGGTTTCAGCCCAAAACG